CCCCCCCCCCCCCCCCCCCCCTTCTCTCTCTCAAGTCCATCAGTCATAGATGATACATCTCTTGGGCAAGCAGTTTAGAAAGTGGAGTACCTTAATTATTTATTAGTACCATTGCTGAAGAACTATGATTATAGTTATTGGCTTCATACTAAACCTCTTGCATGAAGTACCGAATTATTTATTAGTATGGTTGCTGATCTGAATTAGGTGATATTTACCTGCTTCATAGCGTAATTATAATTAATGTGCCTAAAGTTTTTATCTGCATCCCCCATGGATAAGTTGAAGGCACGTGGAATCTTTTAGGGTTTCTGTCATTGTCCTGTTTCTGTGTTGATGAAGCTGTTTCACAGCTCATTTGAAGGGCTTTTTGTAATCCTTTTCTATTTAACATCCATAAATCTCTGTAGTTGTTTTGGAGTCCGTGGTGATTTTTTTTTTGTTATCCTACAATCTTGACTGGCTAACATTTGTGAGATACTAATAGCTATGCAGTCTTGAGAGAGTTTTACCTGAGAAATATGCATTTTACTACAGGCATGTACTCTGTGTGTTGGTTGTGATTTTCAGTATCTCTCTGCTTTTCAATTGTTGTGTCTAACATAATTTTTATTCCTTGTTTTAAATTAAACCTATTTTCTTCAATTAGTTTGTTTGGTTTTATATTATATTATATTATATATAGGCATAAGTTTTATTTACTTAGCGGCAGGTTACAGTAGATCTTTTGATGATCAATTCCGTTGATGCATCTGCTTTTACTCTTATGCAACCTCTTAATTTCATCTTCTATACATTTTAGTTATTTTAACATAGACTGTAACTTCAATCTCTTATTTCAGCAGTATATTTTTGGATTCTATTCTTCATTCGTCTCTAGTGTGGGGGACAGTAGAGGTAATTATAGGCTCTGCAATTAAGTTACTTTTCAATCCCTAACGCAAGAGTTAGATCCAGATAAATGGGGGAGGCATTTCATATTAAAAGCTTCACTTAACATTAGGGCAACTTTGTTTGTGGTCCTTCCTTTGTTTCATAACAGTGGGGGGTCGACTGTTTATTATTAGTTTTATTAATGCTAGTTTCTAGTATGGTGTTTTGTTAATTGGTTGACATGATAATAATTTGGCTCTGATTCTCTTATAATTTATCATGATATTTGATTTGGTTTTCCCATATTCTCAAGCTTCCTATACTGGGTGCTTGGATTTTTATGCCCTAGTTGTTTTTGTTTTCAACGATCATGCCATATACCATGTGGGAACTGTAGATTCTGAAGCTTTTTAAGCTTTAGTTAACGGAGAGTTGTAAAAATGCCTATTTAGTTTTTACACAGCCACCTCTGTTCTTAGTTTAAGGCGTTTACCTTTTATAATCTAATGCTAGTTTGCTATCAATATGTTGGCGTTTAGCTGTCTTGACGAGTCATTTTGCCTCTTTTTTTTTTTTTTTTTTTTTTTTTTTTTTTTTTTTTTTTTTTTTTGNGGGTGGGAAGTCCAAGTCTTTATATGGAAGGGATGGTCATTTGGGCACAACTTTGATCAAGTTTTCAGGTGACCAGTCTGGCCTCAATGAAGCCAAGAGACTGTCTGAATTCTTTGAGAAGGACAATCATGGACGTACAGGTTGGGCTCGTGTACGACCTGCAGCATTTAGCAGGGATGATGATAAAAATCCAAACCTTGTTAAGGTGGATGAAAAGTCTGGAGAGAGGAAAAGGATTTTTTATGGCTATCTTGCAACTGCAGCTGATATGGAAAAAGTTGATTTTGATACAAGGAAAAAGGTTACCATAGAGAGCTGTAGGGATTTCAAACTGTCCAGGTAGAATATCTTGATAAATATATAGTTCGACATGCCTTCAGTTTGTAACCTGGGTTAAACTGCAACACTCAAATCAACCTCATTTTTGAGCTTGTCGATGGTTTGTGGATGAAATCTTCACCAAACAGCTTGTTTGAATGTTGACCTCTGTTATGGGGGAGGTGGGTGGTTGTTTGGTCTGCCAGTAACATTACTCGAGGAATTTCCCTGGATTTGCTGCGTAATTTTAATTTTACTGTAGCACGAATGTGTATGGTAGGATGCGGAACATGGATCTGGTTGTTTGTCAACCGTTTTAAATCCTAATGATTAAAAAAGCTTGAATTATTTGTCTGTTGTCACATAAAGAAACCTGCACAATCCTCCATCGTAACTCTAGAACCTGCTATTTCTTGGCAGCGATACCAACATCCGTTAGAACCGGAAATAATCACAATTGAATATAATTGAGTCGCTGTATAAGCATCTTGAAAGGAAGCTAATTTTGAGTAAGCAAGCCTTCCGATGCTCGGTTCTTTTCAGGACAAGCATACAATTTTAAAGTACATGCAGAATCAACAACACTGGGCTGTCTGCAGTTACATGTCTGCGTGCACTGCTTGTGTTTCATAAGGGCTGCGTTGCTTGGTTTTAAAACAACAGGCACACTTAGAGTTGGAGCGACCGTGGGTGGGTGCTTTGACATTCCAATTGATGAATATAGTTATTATGGATGGATTAGACCCTTGTATATGTATATTTTTGAATTGGAATGCAAATCTGTGCATCTGGGCGATCAATCATATGTGGATCCAAGGTTTGAGAAGCGTGTAAAATGCCGAATCTGATAGTTTTTTTTTATATATATATATATATAACAGTGATTTATCTCTGCATAGAAATCTAACCGAATACTTTTTGAAGGCAATGTAGGTCATGCTGAGGGAGGAATACCAGAGAACCCCAACTTTTGTGAGGTAGTTTTTGTTTGCTTTTCTGTGTCTCTAGCTGTTGTTTGATATGATTGATGAATTTCGCTTTCGAAAGTAGAAATAGGAAGGAAGGAAAAGGATATTATCTCTGGGGTAGTGATGCTGAATTCTGGAACTTAAGCCTTGGGTGTCGGTGGAAGATACACTTTGACAAACTCGGCTTGGAATCTTATCCTCAATACTGTTGTCTCCATGTATGACATTTTTAGTTTTTCATTCGTTTTCTGTGTTGGAAGCAATCTTTTAAAGATTCCACCCCCATAGAATTCTCCAATTCTGACGGGTAATTATTGGAGATGGTGTGGTTTTGGGCTCAAAAAGTGGGGGAGAATGTGGGTTTATTTAGAAGGGGAGTGAGTGAGTGAGTGAGTGAATGAGAATGGGAATGGAGTGCACTTTACATGTATGATGCGCATGCTTGGCGATGCCTGATGTAGGGAGAAGAAGTGCAGGAAGTGGCACTGTGTATAATAGCGTGCCTTGTTTGGCATCTGTCTACACTTTAACTGACTGAACCCATGTGGTGGTCAGAGTCTCTGTGGCCATATGGCCCATTCCCCACCTATTCCTATTCCTTTCCCCCTCTCTCTTCTTTTTCACTTTGATTTTCGGGAAAGCACTCTCTTCCCACACCCTGTTTCCTTCCTTTTTCTACACTGCACTTGTCTGGATTATTTATTATAGACACGGTACACTTCATTGTTGTCCACTTTAAACATAAGTTCATTCTTGTCCACTTTAAACATAAGTTCACGTGACTTTGCTTTTAGTTTTCTCAAAAGATCTCATAGGGATGAGATGTATTATTTATTATAAACTTGTGATCATTCTTTTAGTTAGCCAACGTGAGACTTCGTCCCAATAATCTTCAACAATCTATCTTCTCTATTTATTGCAGGTTGGTTATTCCTCAGCGGTTTAGCTTACAATGTTTTTGGAAGTCTTCGTCGTACCTTACCTTTTGATGCTTTTTCTCCCAAACAAAGAGGGAGAATTCTTATCAGGATAAGTTCTTTTTTTTTGTTAGTGATCATTCTTGCTCAATAGGGTATAGGCCGGTTGATTGTGGCTTTAAGTAGGCTGCCACCTAACATTTGTTAGCCAAGTCATTATGAAAGCACTAGCTATATAAATTCCAAGTGGGTTTTTTGGTAGTGATAGGCTCGCTAGTGTGAGACTAGGGATTTCTACTAAGTTTAGGTGATTCTAACAGACAGACTAAAGGCATACTTGTAGGATACTGGCTCTCAGCGAGTCAAGAAGCTTGGTAAACGAATACTAGACAGACGACTAAGACATGTTTCTAGCATCGCAGTCTAGTTTGGATGCGTTAGAAAACTAATCAAAACTATTCCAGCTTAAACTTTCAGTCATGTCGGTTGTAGAGGAGAATGAAGTTCTTCTTACAAGGATGTGGAAACCTCTCCCTAATAAACGCGTTTTAAAACTGTGAGG